ACACACACACACACACACACACACACACACACACACACACCTCCCATTCCACCACCTCCTCACCCCTCAGAATGCAGTTCGACTTGTTTTATACTTCTGCAGGTGCATACTGTGTCCCAGGTCTAGGAAGGAAAAAAACCCACATCCATCCGAGACATGTTTTACTCTCACGTGCTTGATGTGCAGCAGTTACGTCAAATTCTAATGTGACAACATTAGTATTTGAGAATGATGAAAACTTACAACAGTGTAATCATAATATTGCTTGTCATAGGACTATAATACACATGTTATGCCTGTGGATTTGTTTGAAATTAATAGAGTGAATTTTTTATCTGCACAACTGCTTAGTTAATACACAATAAAGTTCCAGAAAGTTCATAAATTGTCGCCATGTTTTGGCCTCTGTTTTCTCCTCCCAGAGAGACCCAGACTACTTGAAGCTATGGCTCGAGAGTTTCATCAGCTCCTATGAGAGATGTCTGGATGTGGACTTTGAAAAGCCACCATTAAGGTAAAGAAAGGCTGACTCTCATCAGAGGTTTTAGGCTTCCTTTGTTATCCTCCCTCCTTTAAAGCCTAAATGGAGGCAATGGCGACCCCAGTGCATGATGTGATCGCTGTTGTTGCGCGTCAGCAATAGTCGTTGGTACATGGAGATGCTTTTTTTTTTTTTTTTTTTTTGCAACTCTGATGGAAATGATTCTGAATGAAGATCTCTGGGCAACAGTTGACATGTGACGATTTGCCGTTTACATGCTCCACTACGTTAATCAAATCAGCCGTGTGACCCAAGGAGATCGACGTAAACATCAGTGATGTGTTCCTCGAGCCGGTCCTTGGCCTCGAGGACCGGCTCGAGGACCGAAGGTCGGTCCTTGGTCCTTGGCCTTGGCCTCAGGAGTCAAATCCTTGGCTTTGGCCTTGGCCTTGGGAGTCAAGTCCTTGGCCTTGGCCTTGGCCTCAGATTGCCGGTCCTCGGACACAATGAGGGATGAGAGCCTCGAATCCCTTGTCTACAGATATAAAGTGGGTCAGAGTACCGCAAAAATCACGAAGGAATCAAATAAATTCCATCCAGGGAAACCAATATTGATAGATTGAGCTGGCGCTTTAAAAGGGGCGGGTCTGCCACTGACAGGTAACGGTTAGCGCAACGAATAAAGAGCGGCATCACAGTTAGTTTCAATCACGGTTTGTTCCGTTCGCGATCGGCAGTTTAAATAGCGTGTAAAGTCTTTCTGTAACAGTGGTGTCTTTTATGTAGTTATTTTTGCACAGTCGTCACGTTTCTGCGGTGGCACTATAATGTTTGTTTGAACCAAGTAATTTGCGTTACAGCTGGAGTCAATAATGCCGGCACTTCATTTCCGGGTTTGGCCGTTGGGATTTGGAGTCCTTTTGCTCGATTCCAGTCATGGTTGCTGAATGCTTTCTCATGTTTGGAATAATGAATA